AAGAGAAAAAATCCAAACCAACACAACGGTGCATGCAAGGACAATCTTTCCCCAACCTGCAATGCCCAAGGTTGTGTGCAAAACAAAACCTTTCCTTATCCGGCAAGTTATCTCCATCTGCCACTGGGTAAATACCTTTATGTTTATAAGTCGATTTATATTGTAGCGGAGAATCTTCAGTTTTCGGCCTAAATTGATAAGGCTGATGTTGTTGTTGTTGGTTTTGATGTGGACGAAAAGATTGGAAATTTTGTTTGCCGCTCGAAGAAGCCACCAGTGGTTTTTCTTCGAAAGCTTTTTGCATATGATGAGTTCTGATTGTTGCCAAGCTCTGGTGATTCCAATCAGCAAAAGATATGTCGCGACGGATAGCAAATTGGCCTCTGAGAGCCGCGTCGAAACTAGCAACACATGTCCAATCAGCCTTAACACCGTTAGACATAAACTCTTCTTTAATCCATTTTGAGTATTGAGCAAAATACTTGAAACTGAGCGGAAAAGCTTCGTGATAAGCTTGTTCCAGGATGTCAAAATAGTAGAACCAATCCTGGATATCGTCGAGCTTGCTAGCGATTTTCTTGTTTTGAATTTTGATATCTTTATCCTTCCCCGTGACCATAAGGTTGACCGCCATACCTTTCTTCTCCGCCATAAATTCACCTTTAATCCTACGGAGGTCAATATATTTTCCTTGAAGCAGTTCCTTAGACAAGTTAGAAGGAAAGTTGGGAGGTTTAACCCTATCATTAAAACCTTCCACCGCTTTAGAGAGATTGGGGGCGTAACCTCTGACTGCTTTAGATAATGCAATAGCACTTTCAGAACAGTTCTCCAAAGACGAAGGACCTTCGTCCACACGTTCAATCCATTCCCAAGTTTTCTCCATTTTCTTTTTCTTGGCATCGGACTCGTCGTCTTCATCATCATCATCATGGTCGCTCTTGTGTCCTTTATCTTTGACGCGTTGTCTGGAAACAAAGGGGGAGACTGATCTCGAACAATTCTGACGGACACCATTCTCCTCATCGAGCATATGTCTAGCTCTCTGGGCGTTATTAATTTCTTTCTGAGTGAGGATGTGAACTGCGTTAGATTTAAAAGGGGGGGTTTTTGACTTTGAATGTTGACTTTCAGGCACGACATCGGGAAGAACCGGATTGTTGCTGAGATCAAATACGTAGACTGGAACATCCTCTGATGATATAGGTACGGAAGGAACAGGGCTGTTGTTTTTGAATATCGGACGGTTTTTAGCTCTGTCCAACTCGATAAGGTCGGTAGCAAATTTTGACCAAGGTTTATACCAGTTCTTGGCAGCAAAAGGGACAATCTCTGCATATTTAGATCGAACCCATTGCATGGATTTTTGGTTGGAACCCTCTGCCGATTCATATTTGGTTTTGAGAAGTTCCAACTTCTCGGCGGCCAGTCTAGCCGTTTCAAAGTCGCCAGAAACATCGCTCATGAGGATTATAGAGAGCTTTTGAGAATACTTTACTAAAAAGTTTTATACTATAGAAGATTTGTTTGCAAAATATCAACGAACTAATGTGAGTTGATTCTTGATGATGAAGAAAAACCGATTGAAAGGATTGAATTCGGTGAAGTGGTAAACAGCTAGAATGACATCATAGCTGTGGATGGGATAGATAAGCAATATCCGACCCGTCAGTATTTTTATACATGTACAAGACCAAATTTAATCCCCATTCCAATCGGTTAATACAGTAGACTCTGAGAAAACCGATAACGGAAAAATTTGGACTAAATCTATTGGTTTTGAAAGAGTATTGGTTTTTTCAATTCTCTGAGAAAACCAATATGAATCAAATTGCAGCAAAAATATTGGTTATGACAGAGAAATATGTGAATTGTATTGTATTATACACAGTTCTTAAGAATTTTTAGAAAAGAAATTTGTGAGGGTTTGCTGCTTGGCAGCTTTGACATGAACTAGGCGGTAATGTCTTACTGAGGCCCTGATGGCGCGTTCAAACCCTTTCACTTCATCATTTCCTTCATAGGCCATATATCCCAACATAATCTCCGAGGCTTTGATGAACTTGTGATGAGTTGGTCGAGGTGGTGGTGGTGTTTCTTCAACTGCAGCCTTCTCTTGCATATCTTCTTGAACACTTTCAAAAATTTCTTCGGGTGTCCATTCTTCTAACCCACTTGAATGCTCGCCAATTGGATTCATGAGCTCGGATAGTGACATTCGATGTAGTTTATGGACAAGATTTAAACTTTCAAGACTGTCCAAGTCAGATCTTAAAGTGTCTCTGGCTTCATCATCGATTATCGGATCCAATTCGAGATCTTGGAGATGGGTATGATTGTCCTCAATCTTGACCGATCCGTCTGGATTTCGAGCAGAAAGAATGCCAGACTTTCTCCAGCAGTTTGAAATTGTGGTGTTGGAGACCCTAAACCAGGCCTCAGAAGCGAGTTTCATAGCATCCAGCTGATGAATCTTGTAAATCTCACCAATTGGGATTTGGAGCTCATAACGATCAATTGCATAGTTGATAAATTCGGATCGATAATAACACTTGAAATTGGCAATGATGCCCGCATCAAGTGGTTGAACGTGAGAGGTAAGGTTTGGGGCGAAGAATTCGAGGCGGATGTTTGTTAAAGGTCTGTCTGGGTTGACAGAGTGACCGGAAAAGTTGTCAACAAGAAGTAAGACATTGCGACCCTTCAACCGAAGCTCTTGATCCCAGGATTCAATCCACTCGCAAAAGATTTCGGTCTGCATCCAAGCTTTCGTGTTGTTCCGATAGTAAAAGCCGAGTTGCTCGCCTGTCTTCCCATTAAAGCATACAGGCCTATGAGCTTTTCCTATGATTAAAGGACGGCGCTTATCGGATCCATCGGCATTGATTGCAAAAGCATATGTCAGACGACGCTTGTCTGACTTGATCCCAGACCTTGCATTAAAAGCTAAGCCCTTATCCGGTGGCATTCTACAGAAGGGTAAACCACATAAACAGATTGAAAAATATTCAAATTATTGTAACACAGACGTACCCATAGAACAGGCCAGTCTCGTCCATGTTATAGATATCGGTGAGATCATAGAGATCCGTTATAGCACGCACACGGGACCTTTCTGCAGCCACAGTATCAGGTGAAGCTGAACCAGCTTCGCCATGACGTTTAACGGAACGTAGACCCGTTCGACTTTTGAAACTTGTCAACCAACCCTCAGAGAGACGAAGTCGGTCTTCGTCTGGTACCTTGAAGAGGTCCGCAAAGCAATTCCACATCGCACGCATCACTGAGCCAGTCAAGATAAGACCTAGGTGTTCAGCCTGTGTCACCCAAGTCTCAAGTGCTTGGGTCACTTGAGGATGCTCAGTGCTAGTTATTCTCTTCGAGTGAAGACCAATCCCAGAATTGTAATCGCTTCGAAACTTGTTCTCATTCTCTTCTTTCAACCATTCCAAAAGTCGAGGCTGTCCAAATTGCAGCTCAGGATACAATTCTTGAAATCTTCGAGCAGTCTTAATTTGCTTGCCCCCATTAGCATGATGCCAATTTAGAATCTCGATTCGCTGAGAGAGCGTCGGGTTGACCTTCTTCACGACTTTGGCCTTTTTCTTTTCAACCTTTTTTTTGGTTGATGAGTTTGGCTGTGAAGTCTCCGTATGTTTACGCTTGTCTGAAAACCAAGTCCAAAGGCATTGTTCATTTGAGAAAGCCAGCTTCAATTGGTAACGATGAAAATTTTATAGACTCACTGTTCAGTGCTTTTGACATCATTGGACGTGTCTGATCAGCCTTTAGAATTAGCACCTCTAATGCAGCCTTCTCCTCCTTGTTGAGGTCAATGGCAGCACGAGCAACATCCCCAACTTCTCTGATGCGCTCTACCAACTTCCATTCATCAACAAGGTTGGCCAATTGATCCATGAACCGTTCTTCAGCTTCGGTAAGTTTCTTTCCTGAGCTCATCAACTCTTTCAAAGGTTTTAAGCGAGTGTCATTCTCGGATTTCAAGGTTTCGAATCCCTTCTCAATGTGAGAGATACTGTATTTAGAAAGGTCCTTGGAAAGCATGATATGTATGTATCAACTTGTGATTATGAATGAGAGGTGGAGATTCTGCGATGAAGAAGGTTATGTGTATGTAGTTCAAAGTTTGGACTAAAAAACATACAAGAAAACTAAAACCACAAGTCGTACAACCCCCTGAAATTATCGGTTTCAAACCTGGGATACCAAAAAAAAAGTATCACTTATCGGGTTTGACAAGTTTATCGGTTTTGCAATCAAATTTACTGCAAATAAAAAATATTTGACCCAAAAAGTATCAGGTTTTTGAGAGTACAGTCAAACCTGTGCAATTGCATAATTTGGGTGGAAGACTTTTCCTATGCATTTTCACGGGTTATGCAATTCCATTGTCTAGTTTGGCGGTAAAAAGTATCAAGATCTAGGAATTTTTCTATGCATTGTCACAGGTTATGCATCTGCGCAGGTATGCATTTGCACAGGTTTGACTGTATCGCTTTTGACACATATCGCTTTTCTCAGAGTCTACTGTAACAAGTTACCAACTCCTAGTCTTTTGATTTGGAGATGCAGCTTGGGGTAAGAGAAATTCATCATGCATGATCCTCTTGGATTTTGTGTGAGATTTCCACTTGGAAGGAATCAGCTCGGATCGGGCGTACCCGGTTCCAAGTCGAGTCGGACACCACAGGTCGTGCTGAGCTGAACTCCAATGTTTTACCCCTGCTGTTTCGTGGCCAGATCTTGAACCAATTACTCGATCTCCCGATTTGAAGGAAATGCTAAACGTGAAGGTTGCTCCTAGCAAAACCATATCAAGTGCAAGTACTTTTACCGACGAAGTTGGTTTAACACGTTCAATTGCGATACAACCTTTCTAGGCTTTAAAAGGGTTGAACAGAGCTTTTGGTAGAGTGATACAATAGGTTGGACAAATTTAGGAAAACGATAGGAAAGCTGCAAGACTTGAACGGGTTGAGATGGGAATTTTAGCCAAGGCTCATTTATGGCTTGTTGCATCGATTGGTGAGTGTCTGATTCGAGTACTAAATATCATCTTTAAGCAAGTGAGAGTTGTAGAGAAACTCATAGCGTGTGTATTGCGTACCTCTCAGTCTTCTACTTAGGCTTTTTAGCATTGTTGACGATCCCTTACGTTCAAAGAGGGTCAGCTAGTGGTACATTCACTTGGACTTCATGTGCTTTGAATAAACCGAATTTGATCTTTAACATCATCTCCTTGCAGTTTGATTTTCCTACACTGGGTTCGACTTCCCGTACAGGTGATTGCATACACTCTGATCATATTTCTCACATTCTTACCATACGATTTCCTTTGTCAAGGCCGACTTTAGTCAACCTGAACGATACGGGCTCGCACCGGGACAAGTAAGGAACTTATACCTCACCACGCCAGATGGTGCTACCATAGGTGAGCATTTTCATGCCATATCTAAAGCCCTTTTGCGAGGGCATGCGTTGCACAGATTACTTAAACACAGCCTTGTCTGCTACTATATCTAGGGGTCTGGCACGCCCTGCCAGATTTTGTTTATGAACGCCATCTGCGAAGCGGTACACCAGGATCAGAGCAGCCACTAAGTTTACACGCGAGTGAAATCACGGAAGAAACCTTTAAGCAGGCATTAAGGTGAGCATCAACCCAGCTCCTACTCCGTACTCATCATCAAGTTGTCACATGGGCTGACATGAAGTACTCTGGACGACTTGAAAAACAATAGGACACATAAGACCGTACTTTACTCCCACGGTAACGCAGCTTCACGTGCAAAGGGATTTCGTGCTGCTATGGTCAGAGGCTTCACGCGTCCAAGAGGTCTTGAAGGATGTGAAGAGGGAATGAACTTTGTGTCCTATGACTACCGGTTAGTTCGTCTGACATTATGTATCACCGTCCTTGATATCTTGATTAGCCCTCGTATTCGAATCAGTACAGCTACTGATCAAATCTTTTCAATCAGTGGTTTTGCAGATTCTTCCTCTGCCAAACAATTCCCACCCAGTGAATCAGGTTTGATCACAGATGCGCAAACGGTTTGGAACTGGTTAATCAAACAAGGTGGTAAACCCGATCAGATTGGTGTAGTAGGACATAGTCTTGGTACAGCTGTTACTATGGGACTGGCTCATCGTTTAGACGCAAATCAGTTGCCGGGACCTCGGGCCATCAGTCTTATTGCTCCATTCACTAGCCTGCCTGAATTACTTAGTGAGTTTGACTATTGCTAATATCCTGCCAAACAATCTATACATGTATTTGATACCGACAAGATCCATGTGGCTGGTTCATTTAATTCTTTGCCCCAAATCTAACATGACTTGATAACAACTTGAATGATAGAAACTTACGTACTTTTCAAGGTGTTTCCAATCCTACAACCTTTCTCTTACTTCCCTCAACTTCAAGGTGAGTTTGGAAGTCCTTCTCGGTATTTTATGGCTGTTGTAACATAGTCAATAGCCTCAGACTTGTAGGTTTCACAAGAACTGATGATCATCTTCCCGAAATGTTAGATCAAGTGATACGTACCACTCTCAAAACGCATTTCGATACCAAAGCCCGTCTTTCTGAGCTCAAATCAGAAAACACCACCATACTACTCATACACGCTAAAGTAAGTCAAGTCTCATTTAAATCTCTCACTTTCACCCAACACACTTAATTCAAGAGCCAGATTGAAGTGAAGAATCAAATTGATTACAATCCTTCGGATATACTGATACGACTTTCTCATGTAAACAGGACGACTTAGACATTCCAAACTCTCATTCTCACGCACTTTTCACAACTCTTCAAGAACAAAGTGATGAATCGAATGACCAATCAATCAAGACAAACATCAAGATGAATCGTTTGAGTAATTACGGTACTCTTCATTCCTTACATGTTTCTTCGGTTAGCCCTAGACCTCGTATCCTTTACCTAGAAGCTGAACGCGGGGGTCATAATCAAGTTGGCCAGTCTGAGACATCACTTAGATCAGTTGCTCAACTGGTTTGTAGAGCTTGATGAACCATCAGTTACAACTTTGTATGTAGATGTGAATCTTTCCCTTTGCCAAATTTGTTTTAAAGAACTTATGAAAGTGATGGGAAATGAAATTTCTGCTATGAACTACCAAATGGATAATTCTAATGTTCACCAGAGCAGCTTAGTTTCTGATATATGGACACAGATTATTCCGAGCTTGAAAATGTTGTGAAGTGACTGATCTTTTGATCAAATCAGAAAACCTAGTGAAATCCAATTGTGTGATTCACCAATATGTATGTTTGTACATACTATTGAGTGTCATAAGCTTCCATTATCCTTCTCCACTAGTTCCGGTATGTTCTTTTTTTTGAAATAAATCTACCAATTCTCGGCCATCGCTTGCTACGTATAAACCCCGGCACGATGGGACTTAGTTAAGTTTGCCAATTCCCTGGTAGATAATGGCACTGGCAGTATGTGACGATCTGGTATATGAAAGGCACAATGTATGTGTCTATGTACTTTCATTGCAAGTCTTTCAACAATAATGATTCTGACTGTAAAGGCATTTTGAAAGTAGCCCACAGAGAAGGGATTAAGCATTGTGATGGATGATGGTTTACAAGGGAAACACAAGTAGAAGTTGATGAAATTGTGGTGAGATGAAGAAAACAAGATGAAATTAGGTGACCAGGGCCTATAGAAACACTTTAGGATAGTCAATCACCATGAATGGATGGTACAAGAGATCAGCAAGGTCAGGGCATCTTTCCAGATTTGATCACTCCACAGGATATTGATCCTAATCTTGGATGGTCCACTTGAGTAAAGAATGCATGAAGTGCATGATCTTCAATTGAAGTATAATTACAGAATTCATGAAGAAATTTCAAATATGATTCCAATATGGCCTCAAGGTTGGGATTTGTTTGATTTAAAGATTTGACCCTGGCCTCTAAGCAATCAAGCAAGTGTATCACTGAATCTCCTTCTGAAACTAATATCTTATCAATTTCTGGCCACCAATTGATCTCTTTCTGCATTATTCCAAACAGATTCATTCCTGTGGATTTTAGAGTAATTTTCATCAACAAATATGTAGAAAGAAAGGCCTACAGATGACTTACTAGGTGTCCAGAACTGCAGTAGTTTTGTCTGCAAATCAAGAGACCAAGTTTCCCTCTTGTTCATATAGTCTTGGAACTGTATGATAACTCTTGTGCTCTCATCTTGGTCTCTAAGGTGCATAACAAGGGCAAATCATAAACTTAGCATGCTCAAATTTAGAAAATAGGGAATGAGAGACTGACACATCAAAATCCACATTTCCAGTGCGCAATTCAATGATTTTATAGGTGTACAGTTTCAAGAGGTTGTCCACACTCCATTTCTCACCTAAATCCTTGATGTGATTAGGTATGGAAGTTTTGCAAAATTTGGATAGTGAAGCTTTGATGTGTTCTAAAGATTTTAACTGTTGAGTCTCTTTTAGAAAGGTTAAGAGAATGTAAAAGCATATTTTGTAACTTGCAGTTTTTTCCAGAGTGTTAATACCTGATTTAGGCAACATAAACTCATTCAGATATCCAGTTAGGCATGTTACCCTTTCAAGAACGATATCTGGGTTAAATTTACTCTTGAGTTTGACTAGAAAATCTTTTGCTTTGTCTTCATATGTGTCTGCAAGATAATCAAGCATCAAAGAAGATGGGAGTGATGCTTGGTCAGTGACTGATCAATCAACGTAAGATAGTACAGTCATCTTTTCATACTCTTTTTCTTTTTGTGTACTGAATTTTCATTTTTGAAGGCCTCTTTCAATGCTTTCTTTGATATCTGTGATGGTTGTTTGATTACTAGAGTTTGAATCCGTAAAATAAATATTAAGCCAACTAAAATGATCAAATTTAATAGACATGACAAATTCTAGCAGAAGTGCCCTACTTTTATGATTTGCCTTTTGTGTTGTAGCTTTAGCTTTTAACTTTGTTTTTGCACGGGTAGAAGGTACATTTGTCAAAATATTTGAACTCTTTGTTGTTGGCTCCATAGCTCCCATTTGTGTTTCCAGCAATGGTAGATTGAACAGGTCTGTGATTATAGGAAAACAATGATGAAAATGAACAAAATTGTTCTAGATCTCTGTAGAGATGAAATCATCGTGACATCTTTGAGCTGTCTGTTTTCAATAATAGAGCTATTGAAATACCTTGAAAAGCGATCTCCATATCCATGTTATCAAATGTAAATGATTGATTGCAAACTGAGTTGTGCAGCTTGAGACACAGGATGAAGATGCACCAAATTGAAATATTCCACCAAGGATATGTCATCTTTGAGGTCTTCTAGACTTGAGTTATAAAGATTAGTTTAAAATGAGATTGGTTGTTTTAGCTCTGGGAGCTTGAAGTGTGAACATGGATCGACACAACCACTATTCATACATATATGGGTCAGCAGTGAGACAAGGGTTCCATCTCGCGCCGCAATAGAGCCGATGGACTTAGTTAAGTTAGGGTTCCATCCTAGAATATGTAACTACATCTATGTATCATATCTACAGCAGAGGTCATAATGATGGCACGATGTCACTTCTAAGTTCTCAGCAATGAGTTTCAAAACACGGTCTCACATGTTTCAATTTCAGCAAGGACCACACCAGTCATGAATGCAAATGTGAGATGAAGACAATAACTTGGAAGGGCTCTTTTTCTCATTTTATATAGTTCTTGTCCAATTGATGATACTGGATGGTGTATGTCTTGGAGACAATAATCTATGAAAACTATATGTCAAAAAGTAGTTACTATAGTGTTGAGAAGAAGAAAGATAATCAAAATATTAACTGTGTGGTATGTAATACTAAAAACCTACCATGAAAACTGATGAACTCCAAAATTGACTGGAGTTCATTACATACCCTAAAGATCAAATCAAACAGCAGCACATTGTGATACCTCCGGACGCATCAGGGAGAGACTTCAGGTCTCAATACATGTACGAGGGAATCCTCATGCAGGAAGATCTCGACTCCGAGGTGCGCCGGTGCCACATCCGGACTCGTGCAAGCGTTTGTGGCGAAGATGCTAAGGAGCTTGTTGAAACCTATTTTTCTCGACTAGTAAAGTCATGTGGCAATGATGTGGTACATACAATTTCAATTGGCATTTTTGCTTTTGCAGAGATTTGAATAGGGACAATCACGTCTATGTGTCAACAAACAAACTCATCCACCAGACTGACTGACCTCGAATCCGATGCATCGCGAGTTTCGCTTGGCCCTGTATCAGTTTCCTTGGAGATTGTGAACACACAAGTTGCATATTATACAGCGTCATATCTAAAGATCCATCAAGCACCTAAACACCAGACCCATGTTACATACCTACATTTGACGAAAAATTGGCCGGTTTAATTATAATAATTACGCGCAAATACAACATAACATGACATCATTAGACGAAAAGCTATAGATAACTTTTCCAATAAAATAGTAAATATTTATGCAAGTACGAAACCACGGAGACAAGATGATGAAATACAGTTTCTTTTACTTCCACACCCTCACATAAAGTACTCGATCAAGAGGGTACAAGGATGGTGGCTTAAGAAGGCTGATGAAAAGATGCTTAATCAAAATGGTGTCAAGTATGAAACTGATCAGAAACTATAGTATATGCAAAGGTTGTAAAAAGACTGTGTGGTAGTTGAACGATTCCCACTTAAGATATTAACCTGGCCCGGCGTCTCTTGAGCGGAGGAAGTGGGACTGCTTGGTTTTGCGATTGATCCGTATCAGTTGCCAAGTCAATGATCACTGCTCGTTGACCATGAAGAGAGTTTTCTTGTTCCTGCACGTCGCTGATTCCACTACCACGACCAGTGTTAGTAGCCTCTGGTCGTTGTTCGATACGTCGGTCAGTGGTCTTTTTGTTGACACGAGCTGTGATGATATTTCGTTTGCTGATTGGATCATCCCATGTAACCTTCATACTTTCATCGTACTCTTCAAATTCGGGTTGCGCTTTACTCAGGGCCCGGTTAGCGAGAGCCAAGTCGGAAAGGGTACGATGAAGGCCTGTGTCGCTGCCCACTTGACTCTTTTGTAGTCGGCCACTTAGTGAGACATTTGCAGATGGACCAGTACTGTTGGATCGCGAGTGATCAACTAGGCCTCTTTTTCGAGTGCGTCTATTCTCCTTCTCGTTTTTCATGGCGTCTGGCGTAGCATTTCGCTTTTGAAGAAGTTCAAGAAACCCGCCGATTTGGGTGTTGAAGCCTGGTTCTGCAGGTTGTAATGGCGAAGAGCTGGGAGGCAATTCACATAGATGCGATGTCGCTGTGACGTTGATCCCGTGAAAAAACTTGTCTGGGTCCAGTTGGTTTTCAAAATCTTCACTTTCTGCTTCAACTCCACTCTTTAAAACGTAGTCATTGTTCACAGATTGATGTTCAGCAAGGTGTTCACTCTCTGAAGAAAGCCCATTGATTGTTCGAGATGGATCGAGTACGGGTGATCTAAGTCTAAGATCATCATTTAGTTGGAAAAAGTCTTCGTCTTCCTGCAAGTCTGACTCAAGATCATGTCCAGTGGAGGAACTCGGCAAATTATCAGCGCACTTCTGAGAAGATAACGGATACCTTGTCGACCGCTCCGGCACGGGTGAAGTTGCATAGTCTAATGCCAGGCCGGCCTTGTACGTGTGTGGAAATGCGATTTCTTCGGCTCGGATTGTTTTGTTCTTGCACTGAACAATCCCAATACTTCAGAGGTTGACTAACACAGAAATGAAAGGCAACGCTCACCTCGGTTAACCAGCAAGGATGTACTATGAACATGCCTTTGGCTTTTGCAACCTTGAATTCCTTAGATGCCTCATTGCTTCGCTCACCAATGTGAATCAGATGAGTTACAGTTTCGTCGAATCTCTCCACAACGCGCGCGCCAAGTTTGCGACAAGCTCCAACTGATTTAGAATGTCGATCAACCTGGGGAACAAAGCAAAATTAAGTCAGCCATAGGCCAGCCAAACCATGATATATGCGGACAGGATGCAACACATACGGATGCCTTTCTGGTCACATATATGACACAATCGATCAGAGGTTGCGGGAGTTGCAAAGGTAAAGGTACTTGGGATTGACGTTCCAGAGCTGAAGGTAAAACTGCCGACATGGCGGGTATAACGATTGAACTAGCTGAAGTTATTCGTTCACCGCGCGCTAGGGTAAGCAGCCAATCAAGATCGACAAACTCTTTCTCACTCCACGATTTTACTTTTTGCAAGCGCGCACTATTTTTGTCCGGGCCAACAAATATGTGAGTGACGTCGTGACGGTGCGGATAATCTATGAATTTCAGTTTCAAGGAATTCACAGCTCGTTTGAGAATTTGTAATTCGGGAGGATTGTAGCCGCATGCTGAAAAGACATGTTGCTCCGGGGACGGAATGGGATTTAAACGGATGGGTCTAGCCGCCCAGTTGTTATCTGGATCTACAAGCTGGCCTTCGAATAATGACTGTTCTACCCAGCTATGTGCAACAGGGTTGCATCCTGGGGGAATCCATGGCGGACTGGACAGAACGAAGATCAAAGGGCATTTAGCTGTGTGACACAAACAGAATGGTTGATTGAGAGGTGCTGACTTAATATGAGGGACAATGGTATAATCAGCCTGGGCATGATCACTGGTGACTATAGCTCCACAGTCAGTGACTGCTTCGGTGACCTGGCGATGATGCGATGGAGTGCATCCTGCTATTGAGATAGTACAGTTGCGAAACAAGGTCGGGTGTGCCCAAGCGGTCTGGCCGCGGGCATCTTCGACGCGCTGAGACGAAGTATGAGAAGTTGATTCGAATTTAGATGACCGAACGGAACTGAGTTTCTTGACCAAGGACTGTCGGTCAATACTTTTGGGTTGATCTAGCAGGTCGGTGAGACGTGAAGCGGCATTCACCACCTGGGAATTGGACGTCGCATCTTCCTTCCGATGCAGATCTCCAAAGTCGAACTCAGGTGGGTCCGGGCCGACATCAGGACTGGCAGCTCGAGATGGTCTAGATTTGACGCGGTTGAAGGCTCTTGTGGCAGGGAGATCTTGTTCCGATATGATAGAAGCCAGTATCGCAGTTTGACTTCCAGGTCTTGTCGCGGCCCTTTTGATGGCAACAGCCGGTTCCTCCGAACAAAACTCGCGCGTGAGAGCAGGCTTCTCTGAGTCGCCTTTAGAGGCTAAATTTGTGCCATGATTGAGATGCAAGCGAGATGGACGGGGTAAACCTTCTTTCATCAAGTAGAGCGTTTCCGAAAGACATCCACCACGTGCCGCACTATCTTCGAGCCATTCTTGCCAAACAATTTTGATGGAAGCGTCGGTCTTACGAGCGGCTTGAACCTTGTCCAAGTTGAAAAGCGTGGAATCAACATCGGCCGAAGCTTCTGATGACGCCAAGACGATGAGGTGGGTGCAGTCGATGTCAAGATTCAACGATACTGACGCGCCGTTGTCTTCTGCCAGTTGAATAAAGTGGGTACGAGGTGTGGAAGTGCTACCAGTGATCGAGAACTTGAGACTCTGGAATGGTTTCATGGCGTAGCGTTGGGTGATCTGGTTCGAGAAAATGTTTTCAAGATGAGACAATTTGCGTGCAACCGTCAAGATGTGAAACTTATTTGACCTACATTCTTGAAATCGACGTTGTCACCCTCGGTGAAAGAAGAATAAAGAGCTTCAAGCCACATTGGCAGCATGATCTTGATGTTGTTGTCTATGGCGGCCTGACGCAGACAACTTGAGTTGATCAGAGCGGATACTAGAATCGAACTAGAGAGAAATCATACATGGTATTTAGCACTTCCCGGTCTATCGCAAATCAAATGGGTAACATCCAGAGTCAAGGCTTTCGTCACAGTTGCCCCAAGTTTCTCTGCATAGTCTTTTGCTTGCGACTGAGATATGTGGGAATTCCATAGGAAGATGAGTCAATACACGAATTTTTGATCATGATGAGTCAAATTTACCTTGACCGGATCGAGAATACCGCTGAAACAGACAATGCAGCCGGCGAGCAAAGATTTTTCCCGACATAGTGATTCCCGAAATTCACTTTGATCCTCTTCATCGTCGTCCCCTTCAATAGCTAGGGGTGTATTGCATGTTTCTTTGCCTTTTCCTTTGCTTGGTTTAGTAGAGCGATGGGCTACTGAATTGAGGTCAGAGCGCGGAGCCGATGGGATGGGGACAGGCTTGAGTTTAGCATTAGGTACTTTGGTGCCGCCTCGTTTACTCCCGAAGCCCATCGTTCGAGGTGGATATCTATAGGCACTGTTGTACGTGAATTCAGATGATGATGATGATGAAAGTCGAGGTAAAGAGATGATCAGATGATTGGGAGCAACTTGTACTTTTGGTTACCGGCGCGTCGCGGGTCCTGAAATTGTGACCCAGTCCATGTATCCGATTTGGGAAGTGATAACACAACATTCAGGGCCAGACTGGACCCGACTTTTGAGCCTCTTCGGAAAATCAGGCGGACATTATACATAGGACGTCGGCCCAGAATTTTGAACTCGAATCACTACAGTCGACTTTTTCGCGGTGACTGCGTAATCGTACGGTGGCTCTAAAGCGCCACTTGAGTCACTTTGTCAAAATTGACAAAAACAACAAAAATGACCTAAAACAAGCCCCGGTGAACAGGTGCCGACCCTGGACAATGTCCAGACCCGTGGCAATCCTCAATTCATCGAGGTCTCAGTCCATCTTATCAGCACGTTATTTTGTTGATATTCATCACTTTTGTAAGGATTGAGAGATGAAAAGAAGAGGATAATTTTTCAAGGATCTGACAATCTTGTTTAAATAAGTCGGACATTGTCAAAAATGCAGTGAATGTTCAATTTATCGGCGGACATCCAGCAAAATGTGTCTCAATCCGTGATTCCAAGTAAGGTATGCTATGTATATGAGCTGAAAGAGATAAAGCACCCTCAATTTCTAGGAAGACCAGCTGTTTTCAAGAGAAATAGAAGGGAAATAGGAGGATCCCTACAATAAACTCGTCAAAGAAAATCGATCGATTCAATTAACTATATATGCGGTATTCCTACAAGGTTAGTTTTCATTAATCCTATAGCATTATTGTCTTGATCTTGCAGTTCATCATGCTTCAACAACTTTAACTATTGTTTTCCTCAAGTACTCCGCTGAAGTCGATGATGAACATTCGGTGATGAGAAGGCAAAGAAGAATCTGATGATTTGGCCGAGCAGGGTCGGCCAGGGTCGGCACCTGTTCGCCGGGGCTTGTTTTGGGTCATTTTTGTTGTTTTTGTCAATTTTGACAGAGTGACTCAAGTGGCGCTTTAGAGCCACCATAGTAATCGTGTTTGAATCTCTGTTGTCTTACACCACGGGAATTAATCAGTTTGAACCCCGATTGAACCGAATTTCAGTGTCCGGGTTTGAAATTTCCTTGAATTGCAAATTTTGTTCACAATTCGTTTGCAATAGGTTGGCCAATTGCCCTTGAGCGGTACTCTGTTGGCCCCGCGGATGTATGTACAGCTACAACATACACCAACCACCCCATTTCCGACCATTGAGCCATCTTTCCTTTGTCATGCATCCTCAGTCTTGATGCTCTGCACATTGGTGAATCTGTGGTGACTGTTGTTGAAAGGCGTTGTTGTTGTATGATGTAGCTGTACATACAAGGGGCAAGGAGAGTACCGCTTGAGGGAATTTGGCAAACGTATTGCAAACAAGTTGTGAACAAAATTCACAATTTGAGGAAATTTCAAACCCGGACACCGAAATTTGGTTCAATCGGGGTTCGAACTAATTAATTCCCGCAGTGTTACCTTGACCACCACAATCACCACATCAATACCTCAATAATCCCCTTTATTGCTCTCAGAGCTCAAACTTAACTAAGTCCCTTGCCAACGGCCCAAGGCTTGAGCAAGGGATTTTCCTCAAAAACCCAAATCCTTGCGTGAGAAGTAGGCTGTATTCAGCAAAAAATCTCTACATCTTAATATTTTTTTGGCTTATTCAAGTCCCTTTCATGCAAAGAAATAGGATAATGGCCACAAGCTGTTACATAAGCTACAGCTTCCAGAAGTTCCATTTGTGGACTGGAAGCTCTGCTGCTCAGTGATTTGTGATTGGACTTTTTCACCGCTTCCTGCGCAGTGAGCGGGTTTGAAGCCTGTATTTGAAAGCGGCAAAAAACTCCAACCTTGGACCAACCAAAAGTGCAAGTTCCCAGAGACATATTGGAGAGCTTGAAGCACTACAGTTGTTATCACCAAAGCTCTCTGACTGGTTTGGCCGGGGCTGGCCCCGGTCCAACTGGTCAGGGGGTTCCAATAACACCTACTTTCACCAAAACAATCAAAAATTTGGGGGTTTTCACCAATTTTGACCAAACTTTGGTATTTTTTTGTGGGTTTTTATGCTATAAATCTGACTCAACTATGATGTTAAGTACATAGCTAGTTATGTAAAGCCATGAAATATGCCTGTATTAGGCTTGCATCAGGCTCAAATCAGCCTGCGTTCCGACTGGTTGGGGTCTTAGCTCAATTTATTTTTGCAAAAGTGTCTGTACAGGTTCATGAGTACCATTTCTTGGTTCCTCTACACCTGAACAGTCCAAAAATGGGCTTTTCAAGAAATATCATGGCATAAAAAATACCAAAGTACTGGGTCAACTGCCCCAATTGTTCTTGCAGGGAGCCAGTCAGAGGGCTTTGGTGATAACAACTGTAGCACATGTAATAGACTCTTCCTAACAACTTTTCCTTTTACATGGAGTGTTGTTTATATAGCCACAAAGCCAAAAACACAATGTAGTGGTTTTGCGCTCAATACAGCTCACTTCTCAGGCCAAATTTCTTGTTTTTGAGGTACAGCTATTTTGTTATATGTTGTACATTGATAAAAAATGAAAGCCTTCAAATTTTTTTAACTGGATTCAAACCCAGCAACCACTGTATTGTCTGGTTTTCAGTGGTGAATCTTGAAGTTTAATCTGCTTCAAGGTAGTAAAAACCTTTGTTATGTCTTCTCAATGTCCAACATATAACAAAATAGTGGTAAGTTCCTTGCTTGAGCCTTGGGCCGTTGGCAAGGGACTTAGTTAAGTTTGCTCAGAGCTCTCCTATGCCACCCAATCCACCTCCATTTCTCCCAGCAAACAATAAGACCTGGTAGCAATGTGTTTGAACATGCCAAACACGTGTGAAGACACAATGGACTATCAATTCAAAACCTCCTACAATGCAACAGCTAGAGACCCAATCCTTTTGCCATATGTGGAAAGAATTGTTGAATCTGCCAAAAACAGTGATGTTGTTGAACCAGTGCAAACAGTGGGAACTGTGATATTGTTTAGCTTAGTAATGGAAGAAGCAAAACTTAAGCTAAATGTGATGGAGGCCCAGCTCAGGACGTCTAGTGATTTGATGCAACAATTAGAGCAACTATAGTGGTTTGTGTCAAGACTGTGGTGTGGCAAGACTGTGGTAATTGTAATCTTTGGCCTGAATCTACGGCTGGCCACAAATCTAGATTTTGTGAGAAACTGAATACCATTGCAACAGACTTCTTTACACTCTCATTCTGGAAATGATTTCTCAGCTCAATCAAAGACAATTTTTGTATGTTCTCACGATAGAAATTTAGATTTTTTCCTGGCTTTTACAGACTCAAGGGGTCAAAGGTGTGGAGCTACTGATTTGGAGTTACCACTGTCTTGACACAAGCAACCATAGAACAACAGCTGCAGGCCTCAAGCAAAGGGGAATTGATCAATCCAGCTCAACCACTGGTCTCAAATTGACTTCCACAAAAACCCATGTCATGGTACAACTCGACACTTATCATCAATTTATACGTGGACCTCAAACTGGGCAATATATCTCAAGGTTTCATTGACAATATAACTCACCTGATCACCAACAGAGACATCAACCACCCCATAATGGACCTGGTGGAAGAAGGCAAGAGGGCATTTTTGTGGGCACAACAACACAGAGCCATATTTGGTCAGAAAAGGGCACAGGTGACAGGTAATGCACCTTGCTCACCAATCTTACATACCAGATACTGGAGGAGGCTTAGCGGCGGCTATGGAGGAGGACATCCTCATTCAAGCTTATGGACCACTGAATGGTATTTCTAACTATGAGATGGACATGATGGCACTAATTCTTGGATTGTTGAAATAAGGTACAATTTCAAGAGAAAGCCAAGGAAACACTCATTGTTAGTAATACTCAGTGACAGCCAGGCAGCCTTGGAGCTACTAGCCAACCCATCCAACCCAAAATTTACAATACCTAGCAAAGCTGTTACACCAATACCACCAAACCACAATAACAAACAGTACAATTATGGGATACAAAGTTGAATCCGGGAACGGACCCGGATTTTGTCCCAAATTTCCAAATTTCCAAATGGAGTTGACATTTGGGAAAAAAGAGGTGTAATGGCCGATGGAGCAACCGGGGATTCAAAGATACAAAAATCCGGATTTTTTCCCAATATCCAAACTACCGCTAAAAACGGTATCTGGAAATTTGGCAAAAAATCCGGGTCCGTTCCCGGATTCAACTTTGTATCCCATAAATCTCACTATATTGTACACTGGTACACAAGAATATTGAGTTTAACAAAAAAGCAGACTAAGTGGCAAAGGAGGCAGCTGAAATCACACCCAGATAGTCTCATTGTCAATGTGCCTAGGAGTTATACTACAACAGGCCAAAGAGATATTAAAAAGGGGAGCTGTTTCAATGAAAACATTTAAGACAAAAGGAAGATAGCAGTGTGTGGATGACTAAAAGCATTGTGCTTGGATCTAAAAGCAATGTGTCCCTTTGGAGTCCAGAGTTAAGTTTCATGATATAAACTTGGTCATCAAGCTATTAGATAAACCAGTGGTGTTCCCATACCTGGCACACTATATTGAAGATACAAATAGATTCACTCATTTCAGGACCTATAGATAGTTGAAGTTGAACAAACCTCATGCCAGGTCTGTTTTTGTTATGCTCTTATCATATTCTTTCTGCTTTCTTTTTTTCTTCATTTTTTTGTTTCTATTTGGGAGCTACAGCCATTCCGATATTGCTTGTCGCGCCTTTTTTGAAAAGAAAAAGTTTGTGAGCTTGAAACCTAAGTTTTAACTGGTTAAAACCTGAAATTTGGCTGTATCGCCTTGAATTACAGCCAAGTTTGAAGTTTTGAAGAGTAAAAACTTAGGTTTCACTTTTTCTTTTTCAAAACGGAGC